ACTATGTACAAGTTAGTGCTACTTAAAACAACTTTGAATGATAATGTAGAAATAAAATCTTTTTTTGAAGGGAACGTGTTAAACAGTTCTCAGATCAAGTATAGCTGGATCAGTGCCTTATGCAAGGTAGCTTATGGAGGACACTATCAACACTGAATGCTGGACACTATAATTTTATTGTATTTTAACTACTTGTATATATTTGAATCAATGTATCTTTAATCTCCATTTCTTTGTCATTTTTTAGCATACCTGGGCGTGTATATATATATATATATATATATATATGTGTATTTACAGTTGTGGATGTGTGTGTGTACTTGTTAATTTATACATATATATTTGACTTTGTCTTGCCCTGCATGCTAAAGCTAGTTGTTCCCAGCCCCACTCAACATTGTTGGCTTGTTATATTTAATGGTTATTCACCTATCTGCTTATCTCTAAAGACTTTCACCTTATTTTATTGATATCCACCCAAATGTCTTGCTTGACCAATCCTCACCTCCTCTGTGCATCTCTATTCCATAGCGTTATTGCAGGCCTTTTTGACCCTATCATCTCTGTCTTCCACAGTCTTAGTTAAAAAGTTCCCTGTTGGAAACTAGAACAGTTCTCAGTTGCCCGACCACACCATCCCACCGCAAGCTTGTTATTCCATTTATAGATAGAATCTCACATACAATTTTATATAATTAGAAATGACAGCTGCAAACACTACCTGCAATCAGAACACACCTACACTCCCTTAACTCTTAACACTCAGTCCTCATTCTCCTTACTTCTGCTCATTCTGCTTTTCTCAAAATACTTACTCATCTGAGCAATGCTCTATCTTCTCCTCTTCTCCCTTTCTCTCCTCTCCATCATCATCATCAAAATATCTCCTTACACCCACTTCCTTCAACAACTCAGTCACATCCACATTAATCCATCTCTGCTACACTCCCCCCTTCTCTCATCTCATGCCCTGCACTCACTCACTCATTCTTTCTCTCCTGCTCCCACCCAATGTCATCCTAGACCCCGCCCATATTAAACCCATGCAAACCTCCTGTCACTCTCTCTCCTCCTTCTTCCAGCAGCTGGTGATGTCTCTCCCAACCCAGGGCCCTTCACCTCGCCTGCTCACACTAAAACAACTAGAAACCCCACAAACCTATCTTCCTCTACCAACATTCACTGTGCACCCTGAAACGCCTGTTCCATCTGTAGCAATATTAAATCAACAGCCATACACAACCTCTTGATCTCTAATTCCCTCACAATTCTTGCACTCACTGAGACCTGGCTGTCCCCCTCTGATACCACTACTCCAGCTTCTTTATGTTTCGGTGGACTACAATTCTCCCACACTCCCAGTCTCAACTGCAAAGGCGGTGGTGTAGGCATCCTTCTCTCCCCTCAATGTACTTTCCAACCTATCCTCCCTTCCCTACCCTTTACTTCCTTTGAAGGTCACACTGTCCGCATATTTAAGCCCACTCCTTTAAGAATTGCCATCATCTATCGCCCCACCGGTCATCTGAGGCTAATTATTGAACACTTTTCTTCCTGGCTATCCCACTTTCTCTCCTCTAGCACTCCTTCCCTCATATATGGAGACTTTAACATCCCAATCAACAACCTCAACTGTCCTGATGCCTCCCGTCTGCTCATACAGCAGGAAATACTATTGACCTCATCTTCAACAATCTCTGTACCACCTCCAATCTCTCCACTGTTCCATTTCCTTTATCTGACCACCATCTACTGACTTTTGACATCAGCATACCCCATACCCAAATTTCACCAACTTCAACTCTCCAATCTCGCAGAAACCAAAACTGCCTTAATCTCCAGCATTTCTCCACCAAACTCCAAACTATCCTTTTATCCATCTAAAATCTCACTTGCCCTAACTCTGCAACCTCACTTTACAACTCCATTCTCTCCTCTCAACTAGACATCATGGTACCTCCTACATTTAAACACAGTAAGCGTTCCCAATTACAACCCTTGCACACCAAGCTGACCCAATATCTCCAAAAATGTTCAAGAACTGCTGTACACTGTTGGAGAAAGTCTCACTCTACACCTAACTTCCTCCACTATAAATGTATGCTGCACTCCTACACTCTGACTCTTTCCTCTGCAAAAGTAAATTACTTTAATACTCTCAAAACCACACTCTCCCGTGAACCCAAACAACTATTTCACACATTTAATGCTCTCCTTCGCCCTGTTGCTCCCCCTCCACCTCAAACTTTGCAACTCACTTCACTGAGAAGATTTCTACAATCAGGGAATAGATATCTAAACTCTCTCCCTCCCCTTCCAATACATCACCCAACCCCACTTCCTCCGTTGTTCTATGCTCTTTCACACCTACTACAATGGAAGACATTTCTGCTCTACTCCGGTCCTCCCTCTCCACCACCTGTTCCCTCAATCCTATTCCCTCCTATCTCATCCGTACTCTGTCTCCTTCTCTTTTTCTTCCTCTTACTAAAATTTTCAATCTCTCCTTTTCCTCCGGCACATTTCCCTCACTCTTCAAGCATGCAACCATAATGCCGATTCTGAAAAAGCCCAACCTTGACCCCAACTCCCCATCCATCTACCACCCTATATTGCTACTGCCATTTGCCTCCAAGATCCTTGAGAGAGTTGTGTATGCGAGATTGAAAGACTTCCTCGAATCCAACTCTCTGCTTGACCCACTTCAGTCTGGATTTCGGGCTCGTCCCTCTGGTGAAACAGCTGTTACCAAAGTATCTGACGATTTACTCGCGGCAATTACTCTATCCTAATTCTCCTTGATCTTTCTGCAGCCTTTGACACTGTTGATCATCAACAGCTTTTTCTCATTCTCCGTAATCTCTGCCTACGAGATACTGCTCTCTCCTGGTGCTCCTCCTACCTCTCCCAACGCTTTTTCAGTGTTTCTTTCTCTGGCTCTGCCTCTTCTTCCCAGCCCCTCTATGTTGGCATTCCCCAAGGTTCTGTCCTTGGTCCCCTACTGTTCTCTATCTATACTGCCTCTCTTGGTAACCTTACCAGCTCCTTTGGCTTCCATTATCAATTATATGTAGATGACATGCAAATATACCTGTCCTCTCCTGATCTCTCTCCGCCCATCTTGACTCGTGTCTCTGACTGCATCTCCGCGATTTCCCACTGGATGGCTACTCACTTCCTTAAACTCAACCTGTCCAAAACAGAACTTCTGGTCTTTCCTCCCTCAAGTGTTGCTTCTTCCGTGTCTGTCTTCGGCACCACCATACTCGCAGGCTCACTGCCTAGGTGTTCTCTTTGACTCCAACCTCTCCTTCACCCCTCATGTCCAGTGGATCGCCAAATCCTGCCGCTTCCATCTCAAAAACATAGCTTGCATCCGCCCTTATTTAACACCAGACGCAGCTATGGTGCTGATCCTTTCCATTGTTCTTTCTCGCCTTGACTACTGTAATCCCCTTCTTAGTGGTCTTACCCAGTTTGCACCACTGCAATCGATAATGAATGCGGCGACAAGGCTCATTTTCCTGTCCGCCCGCACCTCCCACGCCTCCCCCCTCTGTCAGTCCCTACTTTGGCTTCCAGTTAAATACAGGGCTCAATTTAAGATTCTATTACTTGCTTACAAATCTCTACATAATGCTGTTCCAACCTACCTAGCCTATCCTCTGTCCATACTCCCACATCTGATCCTCGCCTCCAGGATTTCTCCAGGGCTGCATCTTTTCTGTGGAACTCCCTTCCCTTCTCCATTAGACTTTCACCCAGTCTCCACTCCTTCAAAAAAACTATGAAAATACACTTTTTCAGGAAAGCATATCATCTAAACCGTTAGCGGGTGTTCATCTCCCTTGCCCCCCATGACCCCTCTCCTGCAACTGTCAAAAATAACCTACTAAGTTCTAAGCGATTCCTTTTCTAGCAACCTATTTAATTACCCCTTCTTCTCAGAGATTAGTTTTCTAGCAACCTATTTCATTACCCCTACTTATACCCTTTGTGTCACTATACCCCACTCCCACTAGCATGTAAGCTCATTGAACAGGGTCCTCAACCCCTCTGTTCCTGTGCATCCATTTGTCTGGTTACAATTACATGTCTGTTAGTCCACCCATTGTACAGCGCTACGGAATTTTCTTGCGCTATATAAATAATAAAAAGTAAAAAGAAAAAATAAAGAAAAAAAAATCTCTTGTCACAGGTGCACTCACCCTTTAAGTGGTAGATAGCCTGCTTCATTCATCCTAGTGTGACACTGTTGGTTACAGTTAGTGCAGTGTTCTATTGCCACTTAACATAAACTTCGAATCACCAAAATTTACATTTTGGAACAACAGAGGGCAATCTGTTTTATATCTTCCCTTCATTCCATTGGCATTGACTCCCCACTTGGGCTGAAGATATGGACAATACTAAGACAGTCACTTTGAGCCACATAATTGCCTGTTTGAAACTGGTCATTCTCTTGCTCACCCACCTTATTAAATAAATAAATAACAAATAGAAATTAAGCTACTCGTGCTACTGCTGATCCCCCTAATTTCAAATGACTTTCATTGTAGTGGTTCTGCCTTGCCTGACGGAGTCTTGAGGTGCCTGCTACATTTGCAAACATAGTTGAGAGAAGTTGATAAGGCACTGTTTTTTTTCACACTGGATGTTCTTGTCAGACTGCAATGGGTGAGTGGGGAATCAATTGTCCAGTGACTTCTTCCTTATACTTATGGATAAATTCCAAGTTTTTGAATTTATAATGAATTCGGCTTCAAATTTTCTATTAATGCAAAATAGCAAATGAACATAGATTACAATTAATCATTATAAACTATATTCTCTAACTTCTTGTTTCTTTTTGACCTAGATATATAACAAATTATATTGAGAAAGCCCAGGAAGCAGGCGAAACGTGTTTCGAATTTAAGAAGAGTGGATAATCATCATTTTATTGTTTTACATTTATTTTAATAATATATTGGTTTTTAAACTTATTGTTGACTGGGAAAATGGCGGCGACTCGGGCGGGTCCTGGGCATCCTTGGTGCTCCGCTTTGGTACTGTGTGGGGAGATCCGTCCGGGGCCCGGGCTTATCAATGGAGCTGTTAGCGAGCTGAAAAGAGGCTTTTGTTCATGGGATATAGATCCTTCCTTTTGTAACTTGGATGATCAGCTAAAATTGTTTGTGTCCCGTCATTCTGCCACATTCTCCACAGAAGTTAAAGGACAACGAAGCTTGCATCATACTGGAGACACCTTAGAGACTCTTGTTTTAATTAACCCGGATAAGAAGTCGGCGTCCAATGAGATTCGTAATCTGGTCTGTCATCAGTCTCAACAGAAGCTGCTGGTTTTCACTGGCCCTTTCTTAGAGGAAACTGGGGAGGTGCTTCTGCAAGGAGGTGGGGGGTTCTCCATTAAAGATTTTATCCAGATCTTTACTGACAAAGAGATTGGAGAAACACTGAGTTTGTCAGACCCTTCTGCACGTGTCATATTGACTGTTGTCTGCCCCTTAGATTGGGATATTTCCCAACTGGATAAATGTAGCCTCCAAGATTTCATAGAGTTAAGATTTAATATGGAACAGGCCTTTGCAGAGACAGAAGGATTGCAAGAATTAGCAGAGTATCTTTCAGAATCACTTGAGGCACCTTCTCCCTTTGAGCTGCTTGAGCCACCCTCAACTGTGGGCTTTTTAAAATTGTTTAAACCATGCTGCTATGTCTTTCCTGGAGGCAGAGGTGACTCTGCTTTTTTCTCTGTAAATGGGTTTAATATGCTGGTAAATGGAGGTTCAGATGCTAGGTCTCCATTCTGGAAGCTGGTACGACATTTAGATAGAGTAGATTCAATCCTTCTTACTCACCTGGGCATCGACAGCTTACCTGGGATAAACAGTTTACTTCAAAGGAAGATTGCAGAGGTGGAAGAGGACCCTTCCCAAGCTCCACCACCAAGTGAAGAGTGGCTAAAGAACTTAGTGTCTCCAGAGATAGGTGTAGTATTTCTTAACACTGTAGATGTGCAGATAGCCCAAGAAAAAGAACTGAACACGGTTAGGGTCAGAGAGGAGGCTATACTTACTCTGAATTGTTTGGAGAAGCTGAATATTCAGCCAGAACCATTGTACAGATTTAATGTACCAAGGGTGGAACCAACTATCCTGTTTCAAAAGATGGGTGTGGGAAGACTAGAAATGTACATATTGAACCCAGTTAAAGGCAGCAAAGAGTTTGAATCCCTTTCCAAGCAATGGACTGAAAGTGACAAGCACAAGGGCTCCAACTTGCCAATTTCCTGCCTAACCTCTGTTTGTGCCTTATTGGTCTGGCATCCCGCTTCACCCACTGAGAAGATTGTGAGGGTATTGTTCCCAGGTTGTACTCCTCAAAACAAAATTTTGGAAGGCTTAGAGAAACTAAGACACTTGGATTTTTTGAAGGATCCAGTCACAACTCGTAAGGATCTGGAATTGATTGAAAGTAGTAATAGAAGTGGAGCAATACCCAGACGGACAGACAGCAAGGAGAGCATAAGATCTGGGTCTGGCCGGCTTAGTATTGAACACAAGGTTATAAGCAAAGAGAAACCAATTAAATTTGAGAGGAAAGAGGCCAAATCTGAAGGGAAAGAACAAATTAAAACAGTACCTTCCAAAGATACTGGAACTGAGGGAGCAAAGCTGAAAGAGGCCAAGGTCAAAATGAAAGAATCGGCTGATAAACCTAAGCAAGATTCAAGGTTGAAGGCCACTAAAGATAAAGTGTTTGTTAGGAAAGAACAGGAAAATAAGCTACCAATAAAAAGAGATGAAGGTCAAACTGATAAAAAGGAAGTAACAAAACAAGATGGCAAGAAGGATATGCGACCCATTATTGATGGTAGAGTGGAGACTCCACGAAGAGATCTTAAAGATGATCCTCGGAAAGACTTCAAGGGAGATGAAGGCAAAAATGTAAAAACTGCCACTAAAGATGTTAGGAAAAGTATCAAAACACCTACAGACACCCGTAGATCTCTTTCTAAGGTTAGTTCTGTAAAAAAGGATACGTCTGGTAAAGTAGTTGGAAAAGGAAAGCCTACACCGAAGCCAGTCAGCGGGGAGCTGACTAAGCACTCTGTGGAGAAACTTGTGATTGATGGTACCATTCAAAATTCAGGCAACACTGCAGAGGGGACACGGGAGCCTAGTGAAGAATGTGAAAAGGGTGCCTGCGATGAGCCTTCAAAACTAACAAATGTGCATTTAGCTGCTTGTGCAGAGAATGGTTTGTGTCCAGAGGAGCCGGAAAGTCCCAGTGGATTTCGTTACTTGGAGACCAGTCCTCTTAAGGGACTGGCTCCAGTGTCACCACTGGCTAATACTCCTAGAAGTGAACAGAGTGTAAATTTTGATCTGACACCCACCACCTTAGAAGTGCAAGACAAAGTGAGAGATGAACTGGCTGATCTCTGTGGTAGTTCAGATGAAAGGACTCTAGAGATGGCTTCTCCAGCGAGTTCAGACCATTGCTCTCCAGCACTGCTGGGTCAGAATTGTAGCCAAAGTATGAACTTGTAGCCAAAGTATGAACTCGTCCTCTTGGCGAGCTCCACCCAAATCATCTCAAGAAAATTCAAATTCATCACAGGGAAGACACACCAGTTGTTTATCTTTAAGTCCATTCCGTGAAGACATCCCTGATGTTTCTCCAACAATAACAACCCCATCTCTGCCTGCTGAGGTGGGCTCTCCACACTCAACAGAGCTTGATGAATCCCTGTCCATCTCTTCCTTTGAGCAGACCCTTCCTCCAGTTAGTGAGTCACCTAGAGATGTATCTCCAGAATTGCACACTCCAAACAAAGGAACTTTATCTTTGCCAGTGCGCTCCCCTCAACATCTAGAGCATGAAAGACCGTCTGAGAGATCTGCATCTCCCCATGATGTTGATCTATGCTTGGTATCCCCCTGTGAATTTGAGCACCCTAAATCTGATGCTGTGCTAAGTCCCAGGGATAGCGATAGTGACCTCTCTCAGGAGCTAGCAAAACCACTGTGCTCTACAGACAAAAACTTGCCTAATGGATTAGAAACACCTCCTACTTCAGTCAGTGAATCGCTGCCAACCATTTCTGACTCTGGCCCAGATGAATATCCTTCTATTGCTGTTGATGCAGAGTCTGAGTCTGATGTAGACAATTCTTCCAGACCTTTAGATCCCATTCCTGCCCCTCTGCGTGATCCCCAACCCATGCCACCGCAGCCAAGTACATGCATGGTTGACCCAGAAGTCATGCATACTAACCATGGGGAGAAGAAGCCATCACCCCGTCCTCCCTCTGCCTCCAACCCTAAGAATGACAGTTTAAAGACACCTGGAATTAAGACCAGGGTTGGTTCAGATAGAACAGGAAAGGCTCTCCCGAACCCACGCCCAGGAGTGGATGCTAAACAAGTTATAGGTAGGCGCAGCATTGGAAATGTCGCTAAAGCTGCCCCTGGAGTAAGCAGAACTTCAGTCACTCCTATGAAACCACCCCAGTCCAGCTCTCCCTCACCTCCACCTCTACCAGTTTATGTTGATCTTGCTTACTTGCCTGGTGGATATGGGGCATTTACAATAGAGGAAGAATTTTTTAAGTGTGTACGCTCTTCTTGCTACATAATCAGTGGGGATGACCCTGCAAAGGAAAAAGTCACTCGCCAGATTTTGGACTCTCTACTTGCTGGAAAAAAACACTGGCCACAAGACATGCAGGTGACCCTCATTCCAACGTTTGAATCCACAGCAGTCCATGAGTGGTATCAGGAGACGCATGTACTTCAGCAATCATTGGGAATTAGAGTTTGCGGCAGTACCAACAGTGTTTCCATGCAGGGAGAGACTTTCCCTGCCTGCAAATGGGAATTTTAATCTCCATTCCTACTAACCCTCTTCATTTCATGTTTTGGTTTGCAATATTTTGCATACTGAAGTCATATTGGGCCAGCTAGGCTTTGAAGACACTCCTTGTGCCATATCTCCCTTCCACCTGCTTGATAATTGCCACCAGTCACATTGTGTTTGGGAAGGCACATTGCTAATCTGTCTGCACTCGGTGCTGTTAAGCAAAGCAAAAGACAAATATATATTAAAAAAATCTTTATTATTACTACTTGCACCTTCACTTGAGAATGTCCTGTTCCACTTTATGACATGGACTTGTTGCCATCTTCCATTTTCTCAGCTGGCCCTCCAGCGCTCTGATAAAAGATACTTGCACGCAAGGTTTACATGTGATGCTCCACCTATTGCCCTTTCCCACTTGTGTTGTGTGTGTGGTTTTTTATTTTTTTTTAATTTTTTTTTTTTATTTTTTATAAATTTTTTTTTCCTTTTACACACCTTTTTTGGTCAGACGCTAAAATTTACTATAAAGTGTGAATAGCAGCCCATTCAATGAACTATTCAGTCGTGACATTGTGAATTTAAATATTAGTTGATTTCAATGTAAATTAGCAAAATGTGAATTTTTTTATTTTGTTTTTGCACCATTAACTCACACTATTCTGCACTGCTTGACATTACATGGTCTATTGCAGTGGTTTGGAACAGAAATGTTACGTTTTGGGGTTATTGTTGATGGTAGACTTGTTCTACTACTGTGTAAAACTGGGTAATGCACCAAGTGTTCAAATTTAACCATTATGGAGGTTACATGCCCTTTCTGAGCTTTTTTTTTTTTTTTTTTGCAACTATAGGGGAGGTTTATAAATCTGTCTCAGGAAAGTGGTACTATCCATTAAACCAATGGAATCAACAGAAACCACTTGACTTTTGTTTCCATGGTTATTGCTCACCGTTCAGAACTCTGCTTGCTGTTCTATGAGTGACCGTTTTATAGATTTCCCCCACTGTTTTCTTGTAAACTGTTTAACGCCTACTATTTTTAAGGAGGAGAATCACAGTAGTAAATGTGTTTTTCACAAAGTACATTACCAGCATGGATAATGTGACACTTTAATATGAGGAAATTTGTATGCACATTTTTTTTCATAACCTAAACTGTGTACAGTAGTTACTTAATCCATAGTCCCATCCTCTGATATCAATATTCTAATTTATCTGTAAAGTGCACAGTGTACAAATGCAATTTTCATAGAAATAATCTGAGGGCCCCTTACTCTATACACACTCCACAGTATGTGGACCTCCTGCCCCTCCCCCCCAAATAATTTAAATAAACTTGATTTATATTATTTTTTGATAATTTTAACACTCCTCTTCTTGACAGAAATGCAGTAGAAAAAGGTACTAAACAGGCTTAGGTTCATGCCAGTTTAGCATTGATATGACCACAGTAAGGGTCATGTTTAAACACTACAACGTTTGCATCTTGTCCTTGTGTACTTAAGCTATTCATCTCTGTAATTCTGTTTTGACGGTATATGAAGGATTATTATACCTCACCCTCTCCATATTGGAAAGAACTTGGCTAGTGGCACTTTTTAGCATGGAGTGTATGTTTAAACTTCTTAAATCCTAAGGAACAAGGGGTGCATAACCATTTTAGTGCCACAGAAGACTAGGTGTTTAATTATTTTCTAGTAGAACGTAGTTGATCAGATCAACCATGGCTGCTATTATTCTCCCCTCAAAGGCTGTAATCTTGCCAGAGATTCAAGAATGTAATTAATGGGCAGCGTGCATAGCATTACCGTTAAACAATTTGTTTGGGTTTGGTCACAGGACTAGAGTTTAACAGACGCGTATGGATCATAGAATCTCTCTCGCCAAGCTGTTTTCAAATTGGATCCATAGTGTGAATTCACGTAGCTTGCAATAGATGAGCAAATAAACAAAATATGATGTAAACCTAAAAAAAAAAACAAAAAAAAAAACTAACTTATTGTTAACAATAAATGTTTACAAGTCCTTCTGGCTATATTATCTGTCTGTTTCTCAAAAAAGGGTAGTGATTTCCTTTACTTCCTTTTCTATGCTCTGGACAAGGTGAGCAGTTTTCTGTATTAACTGCGTGTCTACAAATGTTATTGGATTTACTACACTACATATTGCTGCTTCCCTTTTCTTCTCTTTTTCCTTTGAGTATTCTGCACCACAAGAGAAGAGGTTTGGTGTTACTTTAAGACACCTCTGCTAATAAGATCAGACCCTGTTCTGTTAGGCTCTTAAATATGTAAGTTTAACCAGCACTCTGCCACATATTTGTTATTTGCCATACAGATCCACACTATGTAGTGTTTGTCTTTACTTCCCCCATACCACAGGGGGTGTATATATATATATATATATCTTTTGGAATAGGAGTAATAATACGTTTATTTTCACTACTATTCAGTCTGAGTGCTCCACTCCAGAGGTTGGTGATAGGTGTGGTTTACTCCTAGACCAGGGCTGTCCAACCTGCGGCCCCCCCAGATGTTGCTGAACTACAACTCCCATGATTCCCTGGCTATCTATTTAATTGAAAGACTCATGGGAGTTGTAGTTCAGCAACATCTGGGGGGGCCGCAGGTTGGACAGGCCTGTCCAAGACCTTGCTATTTTTAAACACCTATAACCAAATAATTTTGACAGCTCAGTATGAGCATTGAAAAATGCCTAATATTGCTTGGCCATTAGGCAATATTGCAGCCAGTTTTGCATGTCAGCGCAGTAATAGAAACCTTTTTTAGGCTTCCTAAAATTGCATCCCGATTTAAAAAAAATAAAAATTATACTGAAATTCTGCTACCCTGATTAGATCTTATAGCACAGTGTTTCTACTTTAGAAGTTATTTTCTCCTTCTCTAATTAACTCCTACTTAATTGAACATTAATTACACACGAGGTTGTTGCAGTTTCTAGCATGCTCTTAGCAGGGCAGAAAATGAAAATAAAATCTAAATTAAACACATTGTACAATAAGGGAAGCTATAGAGTATTAAATTGTAAGACTGCAGTCTCAGAGGAAACACACCTATTGGCAGAGGGTGGGAGCCCTACTTATTATTCACAGAAGGAACCTAGTGTTTCTCCCAGCTTTCAACATGGGAAGTGCATGGGGGCTCTAAATGAAAATACAATAGGGGAGAATGTTAGTAGCAAGGCCACATCCATCCTCAATTAGTGGCATGGTCACTCCCCCAACCCTTCTTGGTGGTTAGGGGTCCCCAAACCACTAGGCACACCTCATTTATTATAAATAACCCTATATTCTCCCCTCACCCTAATTATAATGAAGGGGGCTAATAGAACTAATACCTGTGAAATAAAAAAATAAAAAAATGTGCTTATTAATGTACTTATTAACAGAAGTCTTCTTTCTACCTATTCTTTTTTCTTTAAAAAAAATGAAGAGCGTGACAAAATGAAACGGCTTGGTGCCGACTGAACTTTCACAGATGAGAAAAACCTAATAAGACCCATAAGCTATTGCATCCCACCATTTGAATTCACAGAAGGAGCGCACTGACAGTCAAATCTCAAGAGAAGTAAGACTTGCCAATCAGAGAGCTCTCACTGACACTGCATAGTGTGTGAATTGTAGTTATTTAGAGCCTCCATCATCAATCATGGGTGGAGGGAGGGCAGGACGTCACCCCTCCAGAATTATTTAACCAGAGCTCCATCCACTGTCAATCGGTGGGGCATGGGGCGACGCTAATCCCTGTTTGTGCTTGAATTGCATACTATGGTTACTGTTTAATGTAGTGAACAATGCTGAAATTTTGCAGTCCGAATGGCCCTGTGTGCAGCCAGTTGGTTTTCCCCTGTTTGGTATGGGGCTATTTGGACTTTAGTGAATAGTGTTAAACCATTTTCGATTAGTTTAACATGGAATGAGGGTCCCTGGCCACCACAGCCCAACTCCAATAGAGGTATGACTGAGGTAGTGATCACACTCTTCCTTAGACATACCAATTCATATCAGCAATGGGCAGTTTTGATTGACTTACTCTTCCAGTCATAGCCTCCCATATCTGCTCAGACTAATGCTTTTATTTATTAGACTGAGTAGCACGAAGGTTCCTGACTGATGTGCACTAACAGTGAACAGAAGGACTGCGGCAGTAGACTTAAGACATTATACCTATTCTTAATTTACAAAGAATAATAGATTACATTTCTGGAGACTATATATATCTACTACCCATAGATGTAAGACTGAAGGTACATGATTATACCAACACGTTTATCAGTTTTAGGAAAGATGATATGTACAGAAAAACATATCATATTTGCTAAAGAAAGTCTGCAATAGGCATGTGCATGGGGAAAATTTTCGTTTTGGTTCGGCATTCCGAAATTCGGGACTTTCGCAATTCGGGACTTCGGCAATTCGGCACTTCAACACTTCGGCAACTTCGGAACTTCGACACTTCGGAATTTCGGGACCTTGGCACTTCTCTTGCACCCGCTTAGTAGATAACTCCCTAATTCCCACGGTATTAGGGAGTTATCTACCAAAAGGCTGAAAGACCTACATTGGTAAAAATTACTTAGTATTAGTAAATTTTGACCCTACTCGCTATACTGCGAGTAGGGGCATGTCACTGTTAAAAAAAATATACAAAATAGGGTCCCCCCTCCCAAACCCCCACCCATGACACTAAACTAAAGGGGGGACCTATTGCCCCCCCCGGCCCCCACCCCTGAGTGGCGGGTGGGGGCCCTAAATAGGGGCCCTAAATACTAATAAGGTGGGGGACCTAATGTCCTCCCCTCTGGCCCCCACCCCTGAATGGCAGGTGGGGGCCCTAAATACTAATAAGGGGGGGGACCTAAGGTCCTCCCCCTGGCCCCCACCCATGATCGGTGGGTGGGGGCCCTAAATGGGGGCCCTAAATACTAATGGGGGGGGACCTAAGGTCCTCCCCCCTGGCCCCCACCCCTGAGCGGCGGGTGGGGGCCCTAAATACCAAAAAAAAATCTTCTTTTTTCAGCCCCAAAAAAGGCCAAATAAAATATCCATAATAACAGACGCAATAAAAAATAAAAAAAATAAAAATAATCCATCTTCACCCGGTGAGGGCTCCGCACAGACTGAGCTCTGCATATAAAGCCTTCCCCCGCCCTGCAATTAGGCTCAGAGCACTCTGATTGGTGGGTTTAAGCCATCCAATCAGAGTGCTCTGACAGGTAAATGACTGACAGGTAAGTCTCTACATTTACCTGTCGCAGCACTCTGATTGGTTGGTTTTGTAATGCTGCTCACTGTTTAATAGACATGCCCCTATTAGCGGTATAGCGAGTAGGGGCATAATTTACTAATACTAAGTAATCTTTACTTAGTATTAGTAAATTTGGCTGAAAGACCAATTTAGGTCTTTCAGCCTTTTAGGTGATAGCTCCCTAATACCATGGGAATTAGGGAGTTATCTACTTATTCATTCCTGTCATTACATTGACTGGCTAAGTAACTTACATTTTATATGAATGTATGTTACTTGATTGTTGTAAGTGTTGCATATGCTTACAGCTGAATCCTGGCTACGTTTGTATACTTTTTATTTAAAATTGTATACAATGTAACATTCTTCTTCTTTCACTGGGTAAGTATATTAGTTCTTAAGCAATACTGTGCTTCGGTACTTCGTCAACTTCGGCACTTTCGGTAATTTCGGTAATACTTCGGGACCTCGGCAACTCGGCACTTCGGCAATAATGTCCGAATTGTCCGAATTGCCCGAAATTCGTCCGAATTCATATTCGGACCGAAAGGAATTGAACATGTCTAGTCTGTAACAAAAATAAAATACAATCCCATTTCAATGTGTGAGAATGGCAATGGGTAGTAGAACTGAAGACGAAAGTGATATAGATTTTTTCCCTTAAATCACATTAAAATAATGTTATAGAAACAGTAGAGAACATATTAGATCAAGCAAGCTTAAAACATTTAGCTGCTTCCAGCAAGGAAATAACCTGCCGTTGAGAGAAATTATCTGAGAATAAGTCATTATATAAGAGAAAATGTACTTGTTAGTCTTACTAGAGAACTATCAAAACTGAAAGGATTATTTAAATCCCCCCTCAAAAAGCACACGGATAGAAACTGTTATATAGCATATAAAATGTTTTCAAACTATTAAAGATAAAGTATGTTATAGGTGGAAAGCTATAACAAAACATGAATAATGAAACAGGAAAAGTGTTTAATGAATAGGCCAGGATGAGATTAGAGTAAACATTTCTATAAGGATGTTAAATGGCAGTGAACTCTAGTTTAATATTCTAAGTATTTTCTGCCAACCACAACGCTGCACAAAATGTATATGGAACAGCAGAGTATATTATGGATATTATTAGGGTATGGAGCCCATTGTTGGAAGCCATGGGACCCAGATGCAGGATGTTGCTAACCCTTGTCCAGCACTATTTCCTGACAAGACCTTGAGATGAACAGGCTCCCATGAAGGACATTGAAAAAACAATGGAACGATATAGAAAAACAAGTTGAATACGTAAGGGTAAATCACTCAATTGGCAAGGGACAGGGGGAAAGATCCCATTTTGAAGGTGAATTTTGTATGCTCAAAGATATAAGAAAAGAGAGTGAAAGTTGGTAAAATAAAGGCCAGGCGATGCAGAGATAAACTGAGAAGGTTCTTTCATGAGCCACCACAAACTACATCTATTGGGTTTTTTTCTGGTTTGAATGTGTTAAATGATGAAAATTAAATAATACAATGTAGAATTAAAATGTATATTTTAACATATATATGAAACCAGGTATTAAATTATAAATTAAGTTAACATTTCTGGCTTATAACAATGTCATATAAATAAACTGTAAAATTGCATCTGCATTGTGTTATCTTTGGTGATGTATATTTTAATCAAATTAATTATTAAAAAAAAACTAGCAATTTTTAAATATATATATATATGAACTGGCCTGCCTCTTTAACTCTAAAAAAGTACTAAATATTATTTGAAATATAAATAAAACATACATGAGAATGATCATTATGATACTCAAACGGAGTACTTCTAATAATGAGGCCTTTCTAGAAGAGCAAAAGTCAGATATTTTGTGCAGAATCAATTAGGAAGTAATTTTTGTTACCCATGCTGTCCTGGCAAATGAGACTTGTCTATTTACGTATGCAGTAAAGAAAAAAAAAAATGGACCAGCAATATAAATTTTACACAGTTTTTCCCAAACCAATGGAACTCTTCCAATTGTCCCTGTTTATGCCAGAAGGTTGTTCTGTTGGCTGTTTGCTGCACATAAGTGACAGGTGTCAGACTGACTCTGAGGTCATTTTATTTAATACGTGTCTACATGGTCAAGTTGATGCTAAATCTGTCTCAGTGTTATCTGAAACTTTCCAAGCTAACTTCTATTTTCTAAACTCTGTCATTATTGCTGCTAATCAGACACTTTATTTAAAACAGCTTAAACTAACAGCAGTTTAAACATTTTTTATTTACCACTTATTAGGCAGTTAAAAGGGCTTTAAAATATTCTTTACCTAAAGATAGGAAACGTTAAATTTTGCATACATCTTGCCATCTTTATTCCATAACAATGTTAATCTAT